GTGATTTACATAGCATACTTAAGTGGAGCACTTTGTGAACTGCAGGACTCGCACCACCACGCTGGGGGGATATCATCATCATCAGAGCCATAACAAATGCTGCTACCCCGAACACAAAAAACAGCAGATGAAGAGACAGAGATAGAGTGGCAGAGAAGGGGAGAGCAAGGCAGAGAGGAGGCTAGGCTGCAGCCCCATCAGGGGAGCAGCAGCAGGAGAAGAGACAAATCATAAAAAAACGCATTTTGATGAATAAAATGTATTACAAGCGACCGAAAGACAGACAGACAGACGAACAGATGGAGAGCACAGGGTAAGGAGTTTGACATTTTTATTATATCACCAGAGACACGACCGACAGAGAAATCAGAGAGAAGCGACAGATGCTGGCAGCACGCGATGAAAGAAGGTGAAAACAGAGGGAAGAAACATTGATGAAATAAGCCAAAGGAGTGGGAGAGTGGGAGAAGGAGGATATGCCCATGAAATCGTAGTGGGAAGGGGAAACATCGATCAAAAAAGTGGAAAGAGTGGAAAGTAGATGACAGGAGCCAGTAGATGCACTGCAACCTGAAGAACACCCTAAAATGGAGATTATTTTTCAGTCTTTAATTTAAATTTAAATTATTTAAAATAGAATTAAAATTTAATAGGAATTAAACAATAGAAAATCATAAGAAATTAATGAATTATGATCGATTTCTGTGTGAATTTTCCCTTGGTTCCATTCACTAGCAAAAGGTAAAAACTCTGCCCAAAAGCCATAACCACCCTCGCAAATCCTAGCAATCCTGGCAAAGTACTTGAGTTTCCCCCCAAAACTTAAGGATTCGTTGGGTTGGAGGAAAAGTCAAGTGTCAGTCGGAGTCCCTGTGGCAGGATTAGCGACGACGAGGAAAAGCTTGCAACAGTCGCGGGACAACAAACAAGTTTTGCGCATTAGTCGTCGTCGTACCCAACAAAATCCAAAATTCTATGGAAATCCAAGGGGAGTCCTTGGAGCGCACCTAATTCAATTATTATTGGTCCTGGGAGGAGAAGGAGGTTCCAGGACACACGCGCTCTCGGTCTCGTACTCGCTGGAGTGTAGGAAATATATTTCAGAATAAGTAAATATGATTTATTATGTTTGACGTCGTGGACACAACCCTAAAGAGAAAATAAAAAGGGGAAACTTCCCTCAGGGAGCAGGCAATCTGCTCCACAGCCTCGAAGGATTGCTGCCAGCACACGGCACACGACACCAGGGAGACTCCTTTTTTACGAGCCAAAAGGAGTCATAGGGGAATTGTATTTGCCCCCCTGGGGTGGAGGAACTCCTGGGCAAAGGCTTGTGGGTCATCAACAGGTGAAAGGAGGCTTTGGGCTTTGGGTTTGACAAACATGAAAGGGAAATGTGGGAAATGTGCGCCAATGCAATTTAAATTTACTGTATGATTGATATTGGTTATGCAATGAACACGACACGCGTATCGAGTGTATCTGCAGATACATACATACATATATACTCACATATTGTATGGATATATGTATATTCTTTTGCTGCTTTCAAGCCTTAATGGATGTGATATAATATTGACACAGGGCGAGCCAGGAGAGATTTCCCGGGTGCCCTCAAAAAAATGATTGCCAGGAGATTTCCGGACTATTAGCGCGGGCTCCACAAGATTGTGGGGGCCCAGAAAATTGCGAAATTTATGGGGAAATCGGATGGAAAGCAAAGCTCTTTGGCTCTGACTATAGCTCTGCCTGAGAGTCAGGCGCACAATGAAGTCAACAGAGAATTCCCAAAGAGTTTAAGGCGAATGAATGATTATGGAAGTCATTCACATGATTGTTGGAAAGAGTTTAAGGTTGATTTTTATGAGATTTACTCTCAGATTAATAACGTGAATGATTGAGCCAGAGATCAGATTGGGGAAGGAGAGGATAAGTTGAAGTAAGTCGTTGGATATCTTAGATGTGCAATGAACTCGTAATCATAATTATCCTCGTTATTAATTGTCTCCCGTATCATTTAATGCATCAAAATGAGTCACAAAATTCATATTTAATCCACTCCAAAGTCCGTCTCTTCTCTCTCTCTCTCTCGTTTTTCTCTCTTTTAATTTCTAATTATCTCATGGGTCATTTCACACATTTAAATATTAGACCAGTTCTTCCTCTCTCCCACTCTCTGTTAAATCCCCCATTAAATATTAACCACCCAAAGAAGTTTCCGCTTTTAATATGCTCCATTAGAGCTTTCACTAAGCTTTATTTAGTCCTCGTTAGTTTTTGTTTTTGTTTTGCGTGTTTTAGTAGGATTTCCCAAGCGGTTTCTCTGGGGCCGAAAATTGTGCAAATTGATTAATTGCCAAATTCCTTGAACCATAAATAATTTAGAGAATAATTTAAATAGAGGCAGAGCCAGAACAGCAACAGCTGTCGAATGTTGCACAGGGAGGGGAGAAATGTTTAAACTTTCACTCGAAGAAATGCCTCGAATTGCGAATGTTGTGTGGCATAGCCAGGGATATTTAAATGCATATTTAACGGCCACAACAGAAATATTTGCATATTTGATTGTATTTTAAACACAAGAATGGATGCGAATATGATGGAAATTCTTGACATATTTCCCCCAATTTCCATTGAAAATTCACAGAGGTAAAAGTTTGGCAAAGTATTTTTTGTGGGGCATTAGTTGGGGGCGCTTGGCTTCCACACAGGCTGGAAGAAGACTATGCATGGGGCTCTGGCTCTCCTTTGGGTGTCCTGTTTCGGGGATTCTCCTGGATGTCCTGTGTAATCCCCCTAGATTATCGCACAATGGTGGTGCCACACATGCCACACAAACATTTATTCAGTGAAACGTGCAACGTAATATGATTTAGAATAAACCATAAATTCACCCACACACACACAGAGAGAATTGTAGTTCTAATCAGCGAAAGGACAAAGCGATATATCCACAGGAGCAGCCACACAGGATTAATAGAGCGAGGAGTTCTCATGGGGAGCGGGGACTGTGGCAGCAGGGAGGTGGAATGCAACCAGTTGAATATGGAATTGAATTTATATATTGAACATTTCTGTGGCAGTACGAGAGAGAGTAGCAAAGGGTCCATCAGGCTGCGCCATGAAGAGATCTTCGATCGATGAAGAAAGTGTATAAGAGAGATACGGAATAGTCTGATGATAGTCTGCTATATTTAGAATATGATTTAGAAGAAAATGTTGATAATTGTAGATGCCCCTTGCTGACTGGTTTCCCCTTGGGATCAGATCAGGCCAATCGAGATGATTTCATTAGCAAATATCCATCAGTTTCCGCTTAACTTTTTTCAAGAGTCCCCCCACTCTCCCCCTCCTCCAAAAGCGAGCGAAAGCCTTTAGCATTTTCCCCATTGAAACTTTCTGAACCCAAAAAAGTTGACTGTTGAGGACAACAAAAATATAGTCAAAATTTGTGTCGTGCCCGAGAGTTTATTTGCCATTAGAAGAGGAGTATCTGTATCTCGGGTTCCATACCCCAAAATAACTTTCAAAGGGAGATTTACGGGGGGATGGAGAGGTGCAGGCGCAGGGGTTAAGGGTTAAAGTTGAAGGGTCAGCGGTTCCAGCATTAACTTAAAGTCCAAGCCCCCGTAACGAACCGAACGAACGAACGAACGAACGATGGAGCCCATCGCCTAATCCTAAAATGTTCAGTTTATGGTCGAAGTGGCCAAGCGACTGGGGAAAATGCTCTTCTCTCTTTCCTCTTAGGTGGAATTTATGGACCCCAGTGAACACAGACACACACATGCTTTCCCCACACATATCCTTGGGTATATATCCTTGTTGTATATTTAAAGAGAGAGAAGAGGAGCGGAGTGAGTATACATTCTCCGTCTGGGTAACCCATTCTGCGGAGGTCCAGTGTGTTGTGTTGTCTGCAAATAAACACACACAAAACACGGCCCAAACTGAAAATATTTAGTCGGGCTTTTATGCATAACTAATTGGCTCTGGCTCTGGCTCTGGGTCCCAGGTTCCAGCATCCAGCATCCAGCTCCTGTTGCTGCTGCTGCTGCCTCCTGTATGTGTGTTTGTGTGTGTGGTCTGCTGGTGGCCAGATATACGTGTGTTCTGCCTCTGTGCCACTGGCCCACCCGCATGACTCTGGACCGGACTCTGCGTGCGTGCCGGACGCATCAGGAATGTTGGCGCCTTCAAGCGATTCCTTCCCCTTGCTAACCCAAACCCAAACCCCAATCACATCTCCAGTACCGTAGCGATCCCCAACCCGCAGTTAAAGTGCACAATTTGCCACATTGTTGCTTGTTCGTTTGGTTGTTGCCTCTGCCTCTGCCCCGCCCTGCATGTTGTTGCTTGTCATCAACATCGTTATGTTGTTATGGCCATCATCATCGCCCAGCATCTCTCTCTCTCTCTCTCTGCCTGTCCCTCTGTATCCCCATTATCATCGTTGTCACGCTCTTCTTCTCTCTGGAGAGAGAGAGAGAGAGAGAGAGAGAGAGTGAAAGAGAGGGTAAATGCATTGTCAGCTAATTGAATTTTCAGCACGATATGAAATTTAATTTATCGTTATTGTTATTGTTTTTGTTTAACGCCACAAAACAAACTGACACAAAAATTAGTAAGAGATACGATTAAATACACTGCAAGAAAAGCATAGAGGGGAGCATGGAATCGGCTTACTGAGCTTAATTTTAATTTTAGGCAGGAGCTATTATCCCCTAAGTAACTCTGTGTCTGTCCTAAAGCGACACAACTAAATTTTCTTACGTTTGGATTTCTGGCAGAAACCCAGAAACAACCATCAGAATGTCCTAAAAGATTTTCAGAAGTGAAGTGTTGCATATTTCTGTAAAGGGTATTCCGAAGTTGACTTCCTTTCTCGTTTTTTGTTCCCGTAGAGCATCTGTTGATTCTAGCTTATAGAAACCTTTTTTTTTTTTTTGTTGATTAAACAAACAATTTAACATGATTTTGTTTTTTGTTTTCTTTTGCAGGGCTCAAAATGAAGCATTTCCTGTGGCTGTTGATGCTATGCCTGGCCCAAGGGCTAGCAATGGGTACGTTATTTCCGAAATCAATCCCAAATCGGAGTTCCTACATCCTGCATTTTCTTTAATTGCAGGGGAAACCAATCTACCGCCGGTGTTTACTCAAACCCTAAACAACATTGTCCTGTACGAGAATGTGCCACTGGGCACAGATGTCTTTCGACTGGAAGGCTATGATCCGGAGGGCAGTGGCGTGACCTTTGGGGCCATTGGCTCTGATCATTTCAGCGTGGATCCCGTGTCGGGCAACATTACGCTCGTGAAGCCATTGGATCGCGAGGAGAAGGACAGTCTGACGTTTCTCGTTTCGATCAGGGATCGCGTGGATCCCGAGGGGGATTCAGAGAAGGATAATGTGGTGCAGCAGCCGATAACATTCATCATTTTGGATGAGAATGATAATCCACCAGAGTTTCAAAAGGTATGAGCGATCGATGCCTCCACGATCGGGGATCTCGAATGATCCTTTGTTCCGCTTTTGTAGACCCCCTATGAGGCAGATGTGAATGAGGATGCTGCCGTGGGGACGACCATCTTTGATAAGATTCTGGTTAAAGATCGGGATATAGTTGGCGACAGCTTGGATCTTAAGTGCCTGCCACAACAGCAGAGCCCGGAGGCATGCAGCAAGTAAGTATTTCCCTTGCAGGATATATCCCCTCTAATCTGTGATCCTTCACTTCCGCTTCAGATTCCGCTTGCAGCTGCTCAAGCGAGAGGCCACTGTCCTCACTGCCGCTGTGGTGCTGAATGACACGCTGAACTACAACCAAAGGATGATCTACCATTTCCAGATCGAGGCCAGCGACGGACTGCACAAAACCCAAACGACATTCGAGGCGAGGGTCAAGGATGTGCAGGACAAGCCGCCAGTGTTCCAGGGCTCCCTGTCGACGGTCATCGATGAGGATAGTCCCATTAATACTCTGGTACTCACTGTGCACGCCAGAGATGGAGACACTGGCGAGCCACGGAAGATTGTCTACGATCTGCTGACAAGTGAGAGGAGTCCCTTAATGCCGAGCAGTTTGATATTCAATCCTTTCTCTCCCCGAAACCAGATCCCAGCGACTACTTCCTGTTGGATTCCCACTCCGGAGAGCTGCGCACTGCCAAGCCTCTGGACAGAGAGGCACTCGAGGGCTCCACGGGGATCATCTCGCTGCTGATACGCGCCCGAGAGCTGGTCAATGGCGTGCCCTCCGACGATGCCCTGACGAGTGCCACGGCCAAGGCTACGGTGACGATCCGCGATGTCAACGACTCCCCGCCGATGTTCAATCGGAAGGAGTATGCCGTGTCCCTGGAGGAGAACACCTCACCAGGGACACCCCTGGCCCTGGATATGAGTGTGAGCGATGCGGATGTGGGAATCAATTCGAAATTCGCCCTGCGACTGGAGGATGTCTCGGGGGTGTTTGATGTGGAGCCGAAGCTCGTCACGGGCTACTCCCAGGTGAACATTCGCGTGGCGAACGGCACTCTGGACTACGAGAATCCCAACCAGCGAAAGTTCATTGTCCTGGTGATTGCAGAGGAGACGGACACCAGTCCGAAGCTCTCCTCGACGGCCACCATCACGGTGAGTGTCCTGGATGCCAACGACAACAAGCCCGTCTTCGAGCAGGAGAGCTATTCGGCCTCTGTATCCGAGGCAGCACTCCCTGGCCAGTACATTGCTACCATCACCGCCAGGGATGTGGATTCCGGTAGCTATGGCGACTCTGGCATCCGCTACAGTCTCTCCGGCACAGGAGCAGAGCTCTTCCACGTCAACGAGCAGACGGGCGTCATCAGCCTCGCCAATTGCCACGCCAACGCCAACGCCGCCACGAGCAACAGGCAGCAAAGGCGGAGGAGGAGACGTGACTTGTCCGACGAGCAGCAGGAGCATGAGGAGGAGGGCGGCAGCCTGGAAATGCTATCCATGGAGGAGGCGGTCGACCATAAAGCGGACACGCGAGAGATTAGCACAGAGCCCACCGTTCAATACACGCTAATCACACAGGCGCCTGCCACAACAGGAGCAGCTCCTGCCACAGCCAGAGGAGTTTCCCCTGCAACAGCATCTCCAGCTAGTGCTAATGACGACACGGCAGTGGAGACGACGTGTCTGGACTACGAAACGGATACCACGTACTTCTTGTCATACAAGGTGAGTGGTGACTCCTCGACTCCTGTCGAAGGATTTGTGTGTGTGTGCCCTTGTTTTGGGGGGTACTGTAACGATGGGCATGTCATACACAAAAAGTAGCAGAAAATGTAGACTTTAAGAAAGGTTAAAGATGGAACCGCAAGAGGCACATCGTCTTCCATTTGCTGCATAATCTTTTATTGGTTCTTTTATTTTTCGAATTCTACACCTCTCCTCTCCCCCTTTACAGGCCACCGATGACAATGGAAAGGGACAGACGGACAGGGTCTCGCTGCGGATATCCGTAACGGATGCCAATGACTCGCCACCCGTGTGCGAGAGTCCGCTCTACAGAGCCAGCGTGGATGAGGGCGCCCTTGTCTTTGATTCGCCACTAATCGTAAAGGCACGCGATGCAGACACCATGTCGAGCATCAGCTACAGGATCCGTGGCACAGAACAGGTGGAGGGGATCTTTGACATCGACAAGGAGACGGGACAGATCAGCATTCGTCCCAATGCCACGCTGGATGTGACCAACCTGAAGAGCGACCAACTGATCTTCGTGGTGGAGGCGAACGATGGCCTTTTCAGCGCCAACTGTGGCGTGAATATCACCGTGCGGGATGTGAACAATCATGCGCCCGAGTTCGAGCAGCACAGCTACAGCGCCGTCGTGGAGGAGAACTCGGAGATTGGGACGAGCGTGGAGCGGGTAAGGGCCACCGATTTGGACACCGGAAAGAACGCAGAGCTGCGCTACCGCATCCAGCAGGGGAGCTTCGATGACTTTGGCATTGACGAGCGCACTGGGGAGATCTTTGTGTCCCACAAACTCGACTACGATCGGAGGAATACCTACGCGCTGCAGGTGCAGGCCTCCGACCAGGGAACGCCCAGCCTCACGGGCACTGCCACCCTGACGATCAATGTGCAGAATAGCAACGACAAGGATCCCTACTTTGTGCCTGCCACACAGCACGCAGAGGTGCGAGCAGATGCCCCAACCGGACACCTGGTGTACACATTGATAGCTCTCGATCCAGATGTGGCAAGCCACAATGCGCTGGAGTTTGCGGCCACCGACGACATCACAGCCATCGACAAGGAGGGCAAGGAGCTGCCACACAACGACCGGTTCAAGGAGTACTTTGACATTGCGCGCAATGGCAGGGTGTTAGTCAAGACACAGCTGGATCGGAGTCTGTTTGCGGTGATGCGGATTAATGTACTGGTTACGGATAGCACGGCACCGAATGTACAGCAGGTAGGAGGACTCTAGGAGGCCATTTCGTGACTGTGTCTAAGCACCAACTCGCTTTCCTTACAGGGTCGCGGTCTGCTGATCATCCAGATAATAGATGTCAACAAGATTCCACCGGTAAGTACCAAATTCGTTCCTTAGGTGTTGATCCATCAGATCATCGACACAGAGAGAGAGAGAGAGAGAGGACTATTACTGCCCTTTAATTTAGGGTACGAATATCGTATCTAACAAAATATGCAACTATGGATGTTAATTTGAGGCTAAATTGAGGTTATTGATCTCAAATTCATTCATCGAGTCCTGGCTCAGGTCAACACTCTGCGCGTCCTCGATATTAAAGTTGTTTAGGTGAACCAATCGATTATGCTGATCCGTGTAGTAGTTCCTGCAGGCGAAAATATATCATTTATCGATCACTTATCGATAGATTTAAGTGAGAAGGACTAACTTACAAATTAGACAAGGCCCAAGTGATTTTTAACACCATTTTGGTGAGGAACACAACAAACACGGCCGTGCTCTTGGGAAAGAGGTAGCTGAGAAACCCATAGCCCAAAAGCAGTTCGTACAAATTGAGGATCACGCTGTTGATGGCCTGGACAATGATGGTGGGCATGAGCATCTCTGGCTGGGAGTTTGTCATTATGGGATAGCTGAAAGCACAAGGGGAATGACTAGTAAACCAAAAAAGGTGGGGTTCCAATGCGATGAGGATGGGATCCACCTACATGGCCACCACACTGGCCGTGAGTCCGGCAAAGGTCAGGATGAATCGTACCACGAGCAGGATAGTCGTCAGCCAGGTGAAGCACTCACGCAGCCATTTATCCTGCTCGGAGACATCCACCAGCCCCTTCACATCCTTTAGGTTCTCGTACAGTAGGTGGATGTTCAGGAAGTAGGCGTGGTAGAAGATGGAAAAGGTGTTCCAGAACAGCAGTTGCCTGTCTTGCTTGGTCATCTCTTGTGTGCGTTTCGGATCAGCAGTGGCGAGTCCTAAGGTCCTAGAGTTTATGATTGTATACGATTCTCTTTAAATTTTGATTGATTTTACTAATCCCACTTTAATCTGCATTCAACTGCAGCGCTTCAGTGCCCCTTGGAGTGCGGAACAGCCGCGGATCAAGCTACAAATGGTGGAGGAACAGCCCGTGGGCACTGTGCTCAGCATCCTGCAGGCCACAGATGAGGATTCGAGCATCGGGGAGTACAACATCACGGAGAACGAGTACTTTGCCATCAATCACACGAGTGGAGCGATCTACTCCGTCGCTCGCTTGGACTATGAGGACGTGAAGGAGGTTAAATTCCTGGTCACTGTCAGCGATACGGGTGTGCCTGCCCTGACCTCCACAGCGGATGTCGTGGTGGACATTATCAACCTGAACGACAACGAGCCGCGGTTCACCCACTCCGATTACTACTTCAACATCACCGAGAACTCCCCCCGCGGCACTGTGGCAGGAAAAGTGGAGGCCCAGGATGGGGATGTGGGTGTCTTTGGGGAGATCACGTACACGCTGATTGGGGAGAACGACAAGTACTTCAGCATCGATGCGTACACGGGCAATGTGATGGTTGCCAATGCCTCGATCCTCGATCGGGAGCAGATCAAGGAGCTCACGCTGTCGGTGGTGGCGCAGGACAAGGCGCCAGCTACAGTGCAGAAATCAGCCACAGCAACGGTGAGTGGAGCATCGATCAGTGGAGGATTCAACTGCAACTGCAACTCTTTCTCATCCACAGATCCACATCAACATTCTGGATGTCAACGACAATGCTCCCGTGTTCAGCCGTGAGATGTACAACTCAACGGTGGCGGAGAATGCCGCCCATCAGCCACCGGCAGCCCTGCTGCAAGTGGAAGCCATCGACCTGGACGAAGGACTCTACGGGGATGTGCGCTACATCATTACGGGCGGCAATGAGGCGGCACTCTTCAAGCTGGACGCCCAGTCGGGCATTGTCTATCCCGCTCAGAGTCTCGCGGGAAAGCATGGCGTCTACGAGCTGACAATCTCCGCACGCGACACCCAGGGATCGGGAACGATGGAGAGCACCACGAGGGCTGTGATTACAGTGATGCAAGTGAATCGCCATCGTCCGGAGTTTGTGATTCCCGCGCTGTACAACGCCACGATTGAGATACCTGGGGACATTGTGCAGCCCGACTATCTGCTGCTGACAGTCAAGGCGATGGATAATGACACGGAGGAGAACGGGCGGATCAGCTACCATCTGCAGGTGAACAATCAGAACCAGCAGGAGAACACAGAGTTCAAGATCAACGAGGCCACAGGGGAGCTGCGTGCCAGGCAGCAGCTCAATCGCAAGAACCGCGCAAAGTAAGCAAAGGAATCAATTACAAGGGAATCCTCGATTCATTCTGCACTCTTCTCTCCCTTTAGTTTCGACATCATTTTGGTGGCCAGGGATGCCGGCAATCCACCGTTCGAGTCACTGCGCCTCCTCACTGTGAGCATTGTGGATGCCAATGAGAATCGTCCCGAGTTTCCCGATGCCTCCAATCCCTACAAGGTGTCCATAAATGAGAATAGCGGGCGGGATGTGAAGATTGGACATATTCAGGCCGCTTCGAGGAGCAAACACAATCGGGACATTTTCTACTACATGCTGCTGGGCAACGAGGATGGGGCCTTCTATGTGGACAAAATAACGGGCGACATCTTCACCAACAAGAGCCTGGATCGCGAGGAAACGGATGCCTACACGCTGTACATTTTGGCCAGCATCAAGGCCGATCTGCATATATCCGAGGAGGAGCGTGCTTCTTTCTCCATTAAGACGCTCAATCGGGATAGCACGGTGGCCAAAGTGGCCATAACAGTGCTGGACGTCAATGACAATGCGCCCGAGTTCGAGAAGCCCATCTACTATGCGGGCGTCAATGCCAATGCGAAGATGAATGCGGCCATCACGCAGGTGAATGCCACGGATGCGGATCAGGGGAAGAACGCAAAGATCGAGTACATGATTGTGGCCTCGAATCTGTTCAAGTTCGGGGCCTCCAAGTCCACGGGCTCGATTGTCCCCAGTCCGTTTGCCATTTCGCAGGATGGAAGGATCACAGCGAACACGATCATGGCTGAGTACAACCAGGATCGCTTCGAGCTGGAGATTCTGGCTCGTGAATTGGAACAGCCACAGCGTTCGGTCAGCACCAAAGTGTTTGTAAGTACAAAGAATCCCCTAGAAGGCAAAATACGAGTAGTTTCATCTGTGAATCTCTCTCTCTCCATAGATCTGGGTCTTTGATGGGACACAATTGGTGCGCGTGATCCTATCGCGTCCGCCCGAGGAGGTGTACCAGGAGCAGGAGGAGATCATCGCGGAGTTGCGGAATGCCACACAGCATAGGATTATTGTCGATGAGATACGCTACCATCTGGATTCGGTGGGACGCATTCGCATGGACTGGTGCGACCTGTACTTTCATGCAGTGGATCCCCAAACCCAGCAGATTGCTCCCGTTGATGAGATACTCAAGGATATCGATAGGAACTATGATTACCTAAAGGTAAGGGCTCCATAGACGAAGGATTCTTTTCCGATTCTAACGCTTATTCTGTTTCTTAGGACTATTATGCTGGTTTTGCCATAGAGAATGTTGTGCCCGCCTACATAGCCATTGTCCAGGATGAGTTTGACCTCGCCGTAGCTGGGCTCGTGGCTCTGGTGATTGTCCTCTTTGTGGGCGTGATCAGCTTCATTGTGTTGTGCTGCTGCCTGAAACACTGGAACCTGTCGGTGCCCGTGGAGACGCGCCGCAAGGAGGCGCTGATCAAGAAGCAGATCATCGAGGACCTCAACACCACAGAGAATCCGCTCTGGATAGAACAGTGCGTATCATGACTGCCAGAAGGGAGTTGAAGTCTTCTTACTTTGTCCTCTTTAAATCGATAGAAAACTTAAGCTGTACGAGGAGCAGGAGCTCACCATGCAGGTCTTCTCAGAGCCCGATCACATCTCCACTTCGGAGGCCCCGGGCCATCTGGATCATCATCGCAGCTCGCTGGAGCAGGTCCACCATGTGGGCCAGACGGTGGACAACACATATGCCACCATCCAGCCGCGCAACAACCAGAATCGCCTCACGGGCGGAGCTGGCGGTGGCTCCCTGCGAAGCGGTGGGGCAGTCAGTGCCGGCGGCGTGGGCGGTGCAGGACTGCTGCTCGCTCGCGTGGATCCGCATGAGTTTGCGGACTATGCCACGCTGCGAAACAATCGAGCGCCTTCTGTGAGTAGCATAGGATTCGGCCCCCGCCAAAGTATTCCTTCTCATCTTTGTCTCATTTTGCAGCTCTACGAATTCACGGGTTCCACATTTCAGGCACCCATACGGGATGGCGACGATGCCGTGGCAGAGTTGATCTAAGCCCACGCTGGAGCCACCAGCCCCGAGAAAATGTGTAAATTATGTAGTAGCTATCTGTGTAGTGGATTCTCTGATCTGTGTTGCATGTCCTGAGTTCGCCGTTGCGTATAAACAATATGTTCTAGACACACACTCACACACGCACACACAGAATACTTATATATATAATGAGCGTACATATATACATGTATCGTATATAGAGCGTAGCCTGTATCTTGTATGCCAACGAATATATAGAGAACTCAACTAAAAACTAATCAAGAAAAAGAAGCATGAACAGAAGCAACAAGAACTACAACAACCCATAGAGGAATTTCTCCCGCATAAATAATGACAATAATATATATGTACTATTATATATTGAGAATGTCTAGCCGTAATGAAACGATATGATATGATATGAATATATAAAAGTTAAAATATGTACATGCTCATCCTCAGCTCACTCCACTTTATTGACTTTCGCGATATTAGTTTTAACACGTCTCGTACAGTCCCATGTCCAATGTGTGTCTACGGCCTAAGTTGTAATAACATTACCGATACAAAAAGACTAAATTATTTGCTCTTCCAATTCCGTGTTACGTATTACGTTTAGTTGTGCCGCCTAACATTTAGTTCTCTAGTTTATATAGTTTATAGTTTAATTAGCCAAACTTGCTCATATCCATAAGCATCACATCCATAAGTACATAAGTTTAGTTCGGAGAATTGGAATTGTGCAACGAATTATGTTTAAACTACTTTCCCCCGCTGTTCGAGTCCCGTCCCCCCCACGAACAGAGCCAGAAACTCATTTGTGTTTGCATTTACATAAAACATACCTATTATATAAATAAAATACAAATTTAACTAATCGAATGTGTTTTTATTATGAGTTTATCTCAGGGATGTTCCCCCGATCACAAGGCGGCGTGGTACGTCCAAATCACAATTTTTCCAAAAATGTACCCCACACTTTGACAGTCTGAATCCTCACTATTCTGGGACGGTGGGTCTTTCCCCAATCCTAGCCTATTTGGCCGAGATAAAGCGCCTCAAACATTTGACTGCCCAAATCGTTAAAATACTGGTTTTTTGTAATCAAGCTATATCTCAGCCATACAGCCGCCGATCTGGGCGTGGCATGTCTTTTTGTGATCGGGAGAGCTCTGTTCATCGATTGGCACACCGAAAAATACACTTCCAAGGAATACTGGTTTTCGCAAAAAGCATGATGGTTACATCATGATTTTTGCCGAATATCGGCCTCATTTTTGTGATCGATATTTTGATGCCGATCGATAGTCTGGATCCTGGCGATCCTTAAAAAGTAGGTCCTTCGAGGATCTGCTTTTATTTGGCCGAGATATAGCGCCACAAAAAATACTGGTTTTTATCATTTACGTTATATCTTGCCCATTTGTCTAGCGATTTGGTCGTACCACACCTTTTCGTGATTAGGAGAACTTCCACGATCGTTTTCTATCAGTTTGGCACCATGGAAACTAAGGGAAATTGCTTTTCCGCAGCCTGTTGATATTTGTTTCCATTTTCGACACCTGGGTAAACAGAAAAGGTTGCCCAGTTCCGGCACGTTGCTAGCCGGCACGGGAGAATAACAAACTCAAACTTCTCCAGGATTTTCCACAGCAAAGGCATTTTGGATTTTCCAATCAACAAACTCCTTGACTACGAGTCGGATCACACACAAAAAATCGCTCCCACAGTTTAGATTATACAAAATAGTTATCCAGCAATAAATAGAAATTATATATTAAAGAACCGCGCCAAGATGGATGAGCTAGAGATTACTAGTGTGGGCCAGTTCCAGACGCTGGTCCGCTACAACAATCCAGTGCTGGTGGTCAAGCATCCGGAGAAGAAGGGGGCTCCGCTGACGGAGCTGGAGATGAAACGCCCCCAGACAGCGGGCGCTCTACTAGATACCAAGCGGGAGACGGAAGAGATATTAAACTCGATTTTGCCACCTCGTTGCTGGGAGGAGGATGGCCAGCTGTGGCAGCAGTCGGTGTCCAGCACACCCGCCACTCGCCAGGATGTCATCAATCTGCAGGAGATGCTCGACACTCGCCTGCAGCAGACGCAGGCCCGTGAGACGGGCATCTGCCCAGTGCGTCGTGAGCTCTACTCGCAGTGTTTTGGTGGGTTACAATCCATCCAAATCCAACTCCCAGCGACAACTAGTTTGTATCCTTTGCAGACGAGATTATCCGCCAGGTCACCATCAATTGCTCGGAGCGCGGTCTGCTACTGCTGCGTATTCGCGACGAGATTGCCATGTCCATGGAGGCCTACGAGACGCTCTACTGCAGCTCCGTGGCCTTTGGCATGCGAAAGGCATTGCAGGCCCACGAGGAGAAGGAGATGCTGCGCGATCGCGTCAAGACGCTGGAGCTGGACAAGGAGGCGCTGGAGGAGATTATCGCCGATATGAAGCTGAAACAGGAGCAGGCCGAGCGCCGCAATGCCGAGCTGCGTGCTTCCGAGGAGAAGAAGTTCACCGAGGAGATCACCTTCCTCAAGAAGACCAATGCCCAGCTGAAGGCACAGCTGGAGGGCATCACTGCGCCCAAAAAGTAGAAATTCTCTTGATTTAATGTTGTGTGTGTGTGTGTGTGGGTTCTTGCATTTGTCCTTAATAATTGTTGGAACTTATTGAAATTAAATTATTTAAACAATTAAGCGAAGCCTAGGACTCTGCCTCGGGCGCCTTGTCCGCCGATTCCTGAGGAGGGATTTCGGTGGTTTCTTCCCGAACCTCCTGCTGCGGTTGTGCCTGGCTCACTTCTGGCTCTGGCTCATCCATGGCGATCTCGTTGAGTATGGGCGTGGGCTTGAAGACCTCTGGGGCCTTCTTACCTACTGGCGCTTCCTTGGCCGCACGCTTTTGCGGCGGTTCCTCTGTAACTTCCTCTGGGACAACAGCACCCTCGTCATCATCATCTTCGTGGGGCAATTTACTGCGCATGGCACGCAACTCCTCCTCTGAGGGCAGGGTGTCCTTAAGCTCCTCCATTTTGGCCATGTACTGCTCGTACACATACTGCGCCATTTCGGACATATTCTCTACGGATTTGAGCGCCTTCCCGGCAACTGCAGCCGTGGACAATCGTTCCGTGGGGTAGCTATCGCCAGGTACCAAGGCCAGCTTCAGTGGTCGCTGCGTAAGCTGCAAGGGATTTCATTTATGATGACGATACAACTTAATTTAGGGTCCAGTTTTACTCACCAGCTTGAAGGTATTCTGCAGTTCCAGGCAGTTCTTAAATAGCGACACCCGACCAAAGACATAGACACCAAGCCGGGCTCGACTCATGGCCACCACCAGACGCCGAACATCGCGCAAATGTCCCACAGCCTTGGTGCGCACCAGCGAGATCAGGATGTAGTCGTTCTGCTGGCCCTGGTACTTGTCCACGGTGGTGATCTTGTGTGGCCAGCCGATGAGGGGATTGTTGCCACACCTGGCGCCGATCACATCGCGGATGAGATGCTTCTGACCGTTGTAGGTGGTCAGAATGGAGACCTTTTCTGCGGGATAGCCAAGCAGACGCATGTACATATACACCGCCACGACGTACTCCGCCTCCGCCAGATTCTAAGGAAAGAAGCAAGGACTTAGTTGTGTATTTGGAATGAAAAATTGGATGCTTTATACCTGATAGAAATAGGGATTGGGTTCGCTCTCGCCCACGCCCTTAAAGTCCTCCACATTGATAAGCTGGTAGTCGTGGGCGAAGCCTGGATTTGCCTGCTTGTACTCGTCCCGCTCGAAGATGTGCTGCAGATCCTCCAGCTTCTTGTAGCGCCACTTGTACAGCGAGCAAATGCTGGCGCGCGCACGTCCCTGTCCATCGAGGTCGACGGTGGGCACGCCGAGGCGCACCAGGCGGGTGAAGAGGCTCTGCTCCATGTTGGAGTACTTCTGGAAGGCCATGTTCTTGATCACGGGCGGCAGCTGGTGATGGTCGCCAATCATGATCCAGCGCTTGAGGCGATTCAGGCCATCCAGCGGATTCTGAAGCAGCAGGGGAATGAACGTTTCTATCTCCAGGATCTGCGCCGACTCCTCCATCAGGATGTTGTCGTAGCGAAAGCCCAGATTAACCAGTTCCTTTCGCTTGAGCGCCGCATGGGTACAGGTCATGGCAATGATTTTGGCCTCCTTCACCAGCAGATACTTGGAGCGATCCAAGCCAGTGCGCAGCAGCTCGAAGGCGCGAAACTCCTCCAGCTCTGTGAAGATGTCCGAAATGTAGCGGAAGTTCGACTCGGCTGTGGCCAGGAGCTCCTCGTATGTGGACCCCTTGAACAGCGGCTGTGGGGCATCCGCAAAAAACTTGGCAAAGGGGAAATCCTTCTCAAACAAAGTCCTCAGCTTCTCCACGTCTGCCTCGCCCTGGTGCACTCTGATCTGGTCCTGGAACTTTTCCCAGCGCGCCATTACATTGTACAGATAGAAGTATCCGGCTGTCTCACACGTGTAGGCATTGTCGCCGCTCACGCCGAGGGCCTCCTGGAGACGCTGTACCTGGTTGAGCAGATCCATGCGCTTGGCCAGCACGTAATTCACGCGACCATACCGACTGTAGTCCTTCTCCGTCTCCAGGGCCTCCTCGCCGTGGCCCAGACGAAGCAGATGTCGCTCATCAATGTCCAGGGCCATGATCTTCTCGAACAGCTGATTTAGCGCCTGATTGGAGTGCGTCACAATGAGGGTCCGCTGGTTGGGCTGATTGTGGTAGATGTTGGAGATGATCTGCACAGCCACATCGGTCTTGCCCGTGCCGGGAGGACCCACCACCAGTGTCAGACCCGGCTGCATGCCTGCGCGAATGGCTTCAATTTGTGTGGGCGTAAAGCGAATGGAATTTCTAGAAAAAGAAGGTACGAGGGATCAGTAAAAAAACAAGACGAATTTAAACTCTTAAATTTACTCACTGTTTGGGCTTGTCGCTGGGGTAGGGTCCCCTGGCCTCGTATTTATAGGGCTGTATCACAATCGACTTGCTTACAGTCGCCTCCTGCTCCTGCTCCTTCTTCTCTTCCACCTCCTCTTCCTCATCGCTATCCTTTTGTATGGGCACATCCCCAAAGATCAGACGATAGGGTGGCAGTCGGCTCTCCTCGGGGATCTCGCACTTGAGCTCGTAGCTGGGGAAACTGCCCTTCAGATGCTCGAAGTCCAAGAAGGTGTCGTTGAACTCCAGACTGCGCTCCTGATTGGGCATGTTGCTGTAGTGGGCAGCACCTGGATCGCCATACCCGAGGAGTATGTCGTGCAGCCAGGGCGGCACCACGCACTCTGTGTTCATCAGATGGCGAATGGTCTCCAGGACGGCCTTGAAGTTGTTTTCCTTGGGCTTGCGACGCATCAGGATGTTGAAGCTCTCGTAAACATCATCAGCACCCTGCAGGGGGATTGGAATACCGTTAAAGGAATACTGGGAAGGAGGAAGTGAAGATCTACTTACATCCTGCATATCGTCCATGTCCAGGCGATACTGATTCGAGTCCAGCCACACACGGTAGCAGCGCTGCTCTCCCGGCAACTGGGGACGCGGCTCGGGCCCATCTTCGACCACACGACCATTGGCATCCAGCATGCCTTCGACCTCGCAGCCCCGCACACTCACCAGCCCCACCTGTGGGATGAAGGGCTCGCGAGGATTGTATTTGGTGCCATACGGCTGTGTGGGCTTCACGGTGATCAGGAAGCAGACGTCGTGCTTGCGCAGGTTCTCCCACTCGATCTTGATCTCGCGGCGAACGGAGAGGGTCACGCCCACGTCCGCTCGCACTCGGGAGGGCTTCTTCTCCCCGATATGCGGTTTGGCCACCTCCACCACAGCGAAGCTGGCTATGGGCAGAGCCATGCGCGCCCATCCCCCGAAGACGACGTCACCGTCCTCCGACTGCCAGGGCAGCATGCGGCTGACGGCATCCTCAATGTCCTGCCGAATCTCGTAGGTGGACTCCAGGCGGAAGAGATTGAAGTTGCGCAGGAGGTAGTCGTGGAGCGTGAGGAACTGCAGGTTGAGCTTCGGCAGGGCCAGACAGCTGTCGCCCGTGTAGTACTCCGAGGGCACCACATTCTCGTCCCAGACGATCTGTTCCGTGGGGTACAGCGGCATCTCGTTGAGCGCCTCCAGCTGGGAGCAGCGCTTCTCATGCCGCGTGATCAGCAGTTCCCTCAGGAACGGCTCGTCGAGGCGGTGCCACTCGAAAGGTGCGGCCACCTCATCCGGCACTAGGTTCAGAAACGTGGCGATCTGTTTCAGTCCCTCTCCATCCAATCCCCCGAAATGCTGCTCCAGCGACTCCCGATTGTCCACGGTGGCCACATTGGAGAGGGCGAACACTCGCAGGCTGGGAAACTTGGCGAACACAGCCCGCTGCAGGGAGGTGATCTTCTTGTAGTGCAGCTGGGTCATGTCGTGGTCGGTAAGGGAGTTTCCCGTCACATCGTTGATTTCGAAGCGGGTGTAGAACTTAAGCATGTCGAGGAGCTGTAAAGGCAGGAAAAGTATTGGTTATTTATGTGTTAGAGCATCATCGTATCTTAATCCCCCCCACTGTCTACCTACGTCACCCGCTGAACCGCTCCTGATCGTTAACACATGGGCGCGCATTGAATGGAACGTGTTTCGTTGTTTTACTACCTGCCCTCGTGAATGCTCTCTATCTTTCTCTCTCTGCAACACTCTCTCTGACTCTCTTTTAAGTTTTTTTACTCAAACTACAGGTAACGCAAGTCCAAGTAAAGCTAAAGCTGGTCTGGTCTGCCTCCTCATAAGGTTGATACGTCATCAGTTTGGGCAAGACTACTCTCCCATACATGCATGCATACATAAGTAAATATGCATGTAGTAGTATCTCTCTCTCAGGCTAGACTGAGAGAGAGCGAGAGAGTGCTAATTAAGCAAGGTGAACAAAAAGCGGGTCTGTCTCTACAGAGCAGGCGGAAGTCCTTATGGGGGAACAAGAGCAGTTATATCGTGGAAATTCGAAACTCTCCAGGAAATCCAATACCAAATCTGGGTTTCTGAAGGTTAGCTGAAGGGTGTCGTGTCCCACCTTCCGACAACATTCTGATTGAACAGCGTGAGGAGAAATCGCCCCCTCCCACTCCTTTCGATATGTCTGTGTGTTTTATGGAGTGAGGGGTGTGAGCGGACAAGGGGACAAGTACCATCCACAGCTCTGAAAGACAAGGCACGCGCGTCGCGAGACTCCTGGCTCCAGGCTACAGAGTGCAGTTGTCTCGCTTGCATGGGAATGCAGCGGCATCTTATCACACCATCGTCATCATCAAATATCATCCTGTAGATACAAGGGGAGGTTGGACTGACACACAAACACTAAAACACAAAAACACACACACGCATGCATCATGAATTCCGTTTGCCGGTTCCTGGTTTGTCTTCCCCGACTGCCGTCTCGCCTGCTGCAATTGATAATTTCCGTCGCTCAATTTAAACAAAAACACCAGCTGAAGAGGGGAGAGAAGCGGAGCGGAGAGGAGAGAGCAAAGCCCTGCTTCAACTTTTTGTTGCTGCGTTTCGGTGGTTGCCGACAGCGCTTGGTACAGGGTATATTATATTGGAAAGGTAAGGCAGCAATCTAAGAGGTCCTTATTTGAGAGCCAAACCAGTTTCTGACTTGAGCGACTTGGAAGAAAGAAAACGAAACTAGAGGCAGAGAGAGGAGACCGGTACTACCCTACCTTCCATCAAATAGAACTTGAACTTAGCCGCTCTCTCTCTCGGCAGCAGTCACTAGAAAGCCAGAGCGAGAGGCAGCTCATTCAACCGTCGACTTTTCAATTCGAATGTTCTCTCTCTTCCCGCAAAATTCGAAATTCCGATTCGTATAAACATTTAAATAAAGAGGAAATAAAACCCTCACTGTTTATATGGTTAATCCCAGCCACAGTTGCACCTTTCCGCGGCTATAGTTGTGTGTAAATCCAGTCTACAAAGAGTTTTCGCCTTAGTTTGTTGGCATGCATGTCATGATCTTGGCTTTTAGCCGGCTTCAGACTGAGAGACACCTTGATGACGCATCTGTTGGCCAACACAGATCCACATAAGCCCGCGATTACCTGTGTATACTATTTGTCTCTGTCTCCGTCTCCCCGTCTGCGTGCTTGGGTCTGTTTTGTGTGCGAAAGATGCTTGTGAAAACGCTTGGCGCGCAAAAATGCAGCTGCTGCTCGATGCCTGTTCTGATGCTGCTGCTACTTGTGATACCATCCCCAGTGATGGCCCATATAAGTAGCGGCTCCTCAGGCCCTGCTCCAGCCGATCCCGGCCTAGTAATGGTCAACAAATGCTGCGAAAAGTTCGAGATACACGTGGATAGCGAGTGCCAGCAGGTCAACCAAACGGGTGAGTGCTCCTGCTGTTTCCACCCCACCCCCACTGTCCCACACACGCAATAAGGTTGCCTTGGCAACTGGAGTTGGCCATTCAACTCTATGGATTTTCCCCCTCTGGGAAGCATGCAACAAAAACATATGTGTGCCCAACATTTAATGGCCCATTTGTTGGCTATCAGTGGATCAGTGGAACGTAGCCAGTTCCTCCCTCTCCTGCTGTAATGTTTTGAAAACAAACACAGAGAGTGGTTGTGGATATGTGCCCCCAATCCTGTTGGCTGCTGCTGATGATATGATATGATTTATGTGGCGAGGCATGGCTACTGTGTGCAGTAAGTGGCCTCTTACTTAGATGGGGGGCTTTCAAAGGGTGAAATAGTTTGGTTATTAAGTGTAAAAGATGGGAAATATTATGAAAAGATTCTGATTCTATTATGGTTCGAAGAACAACTATAAAAGATGAAAAATATTTATAGTTCTTTAGTAATTTTCTTGAAATTAAAACAGAATACTCGTATCAACCTTCTAGTCCCTTGCTCATAACAAAAGCACATTCCCAAACTCATTCCGAATTCAACATTGGAACCATTGCCATTGATGTGACACATGAAAAGTGTTACAACAACAAGGATGATTCATTCACAATTAGGCCAACAATCGTACACTGATCTCATCTGAGGATTAGTCAATGCCCGAAGATTGCAAGTGTAGCAACAGCTACATGAGATTTAATCTAATTTCCGTATACTATGATTAGCATATCAAAGGAATGGGGGAATGGGTGGGGCGGGGGCGGGGGAAGTGCATCCAATCTCTGTGGTAATTGGAGGAGAACAAATCCCCACAAATCGCAAACTGAAAGCCAGCTGAGAGATGATGATGGAATGGCATGGGATGGGAAGGGAAGTGAGCAGAGCAGAGCAGAGCACGTTCTTTTCATGCAGTCTAAATATTTATAGGAGAGTGGATTCCCCCTCGATCCCTCAATTGTAACAAAGGCAGACTCTTGAAGTGTTTTTCTTTCCTTCTGTTTTGTTCTGTTCTCCAATTGAAGAATCTTTCTCTCTGTCATTTTCTATCTATGGCATCCATTTGCAGACTACTTTCAGCCGATGTTCACCAGCTATGGCGGTGACCAGAACCGGCCTGTGCGCTTCAAGTTCATCATTGGCATTCCCAATTGCGGTTCCATGCAGATGTGGCCCATCTATCACTATGCAGGGGTGAGTACTCTCTTTCTCTCTTCATGTCCTGTGGTATTCTATAGACACCTCTTCTTTCAGAGCTCTGATAAGCTGGTGCTCCTGGACGATGGCAAGCTGAGGCACTATACCAATGCCGAAGACGAGGCCGCCGAGCAGAGTGGCGTGCAAACAGACTACGAGGACGACATAGCTGGGAGTAGGGAGCCGCTCTACCATGACTACGATCAAGGACTCTACTGCATAGATAGGGTATGAATATACTTCCCTTCTACAGCCCAGCCCCTTCTTCTTTCATTCTAATCAATCATTTTACATTCTTTAGGCCACTTCCAGCACGGGCGAGGAGCATGTTTTGTTTGCAAAAATCTGTCTGGCCAAAAAGGAGATCAAGTGGAGCGATTCAAGCTTTCTGCTGCGCAAGATCCTCAATCCCATCTTCCATGGAATATCGCTGATTATATTGCTGGTCATAGCCATTGTCTACTTTATTCTGCCGACCCTCAGGTGAGCTCTGCTGCTGGAACTATGACCCCATTCATGCGTTAACTGCGTCCCTTCCGTTCAGCAGAGATCTGGTTGGCAACATAGTGACCACAATAGCCGTTTGCCTGATGGTCAGCCAGGCGGCTGACCTGGTGCGCATCTTCACGGAGCTAACGAGTCACGTAAGCTTCATTGTGGCGGACATCATCATGTGCTTCAGTATGCTGGCCGCTTTCTTTTGGCTAAACAGCTTTGGCTACTACATCTGGAAGACGTTCCGCTCGAGGAACGTTTTCCTGCGCGTCACCGATGGCCGAATGTACTGCTACTACTCCGCCTATGCCTGGGGCTGCACGGGCACAATGGCAGCCCTGGCTGTCTTTGCGCATTTCTTCCTCGATGCGGATTCGTACAAGCAGGAGCAGATGGTGGGCGAGCAGGAGACGATTGGCTGGCTGGGCATTTGCATATTCTTTGCCCCCATTGCATGCACCATCGTGGTGAACACCTTCTTCTATGTGACCACCAGGAAGCTGATCAACAGACGCACTGTCTACGGACGGATTGCCCACAAACTGAAGGCCAAGTGAGTTGCCTTGAGATGCACAGAATCATCCCATCAGGATAATCCAATATCTCCCCCTATCCCCTGCAGCTTTATTATGTTCTCCTTGATGCTGTTGGTCATGTCCGTGGCCTGGCTGTTTCTTATCATGTCCTGGCTGCAGCTGGACGGCCTGCTCTATGCCCACATTGTGGTCAATGCCCTGCAATGCCCGCTGCTGCTCTACATATGTGTGCTGCGGCAGCGCCATGTGACGTTTCTGCTCAAGAAATCCTGCTGCTACAACGAGCCCCCCTCCACGAACGACTGGGGCGACGAGCTGCACTACATGAACGGCAACGACTACTGAGATACTGAGAATAATCAGCCACCGACTCCCGTCTCCGTTCCGTTTAGGATCTAAGCTCTAGCGTCGCTAAGTGTTGTCCCGTAGTTTAGCAATGTCCAACATTGAGATTTTTGTACTTAAACTTAACTAATTTATGATTTACCAGTTAGGGAATAAAAACAAGAAAAGTCTGACACATACCTGGCCAAACAGCTTGCCCTCCTCGCGCCGCACCAGCGGCGACAGCAGAGCCCTCACAATCAGATGGCAGTCATCCAGGACGGTGTTGAAGAAGCGCCGCGTCGGCAGCAGCGCCTCCAGATCGATGATGAACTCGAGAAAGCGCTCGCAGTAGTGCACCAGACAGGGGTTGATCTCGCCCTCGGCGGGAATGCTCTCGAGTATGTCCAGGAAATCAATGATAAGGTTCTGCATAAAATGCCGCTCCCAGAGTACCTCGGCCTTGGGATCCTTGTCCTTTTTGAGCAGGCGCTTCCAGTACTTTCGCCACTCTGGCACCTCACGCAGCTCCTGATCGCGACGGCGAGGCTGCAGACAGTGCCACATGGATAGGGATACGAGACGCTTGGCCTGCTCACGGCATAGCTCGATTTCCATGCTGTTGAAGCAGTGATTGAGGAACATCAGCAGGGCCGTGCGTTCGCGCAACGTGCTCCTGGCCTCCTTTGCACCCTTGTCCGGCAGACACGACTCCAGCACGTGGCGAAAAAAGTTAGGATATTGTTCGGGCCGCTCCTCGAACACATTCCACACTTGGACGCGCTCGCGGAACTTCTCGTTGGCCATGATCATAATGGACATGAGGTGCGCGTGTGTGGCCGTCTCTCGCTGGTAGTTCGGCCACAGATACTGCTCCATGTACTGGCTGAACTCAAGCATGTTGATGCGCCGCGAACTGTGGCTGCCACCGATTTCCTCAATGTAGATGCGTTCAATAACATTTGCGCTGTAGGGCAAATGATCCGCCTTTGTGTCCGGCGACCAGTACTGCGATGCAACCTATTAAAACGGATTTTCGTTAGTTTTCGGCTGGACGGCGTGGACGCGCTTGCCCCGAGGAGCACCCACCTGCCATATGACATCGGAGCTGAACTGTGCCAGCGTCAGGGCGCCGGCCTTTTCCTTGGACTTATTACTACTGTCCTTGGCTGCTTGGGCTTGGGTTTGGCTTCGGCGCTTCATTTTCGCGGCTAATAATTACAGAAAACTCAATAAAACACAAAAACTGCACCAAAACAAACGCCGGTCGCAAAAAACAACAGCGTGTTATCGATGATAGCGATAGTTGTTAGAGGTTGCGATTGTTGTACAGCCGTGACATAGATAATTGCATATTTGTGGGAATTTTTGTGGCTGTGTCTTAGATTTATAGCTTTTTATATAGCCAATATTGTTGCTATAATTTTAAAGCACTCGCTTTAATTTTATAAATATATAAAATAAATGCAAATTAGTCGTGCGATAGTATCAATAGTTTGCGCTCTAAGATCGATATTTGGCTTGCTGCACGCCGGCTGCCGCCGTTTAATGCTTTTAAAGTCCTATTTAATTGTAAATAAAAACTATAAAGGACACATAAAGGACTAGAAAATGATGCCAGCAGTACCACCCGAAAACATACTGGTAAGTAAACAAGCATGATGAGGCTGTATTTACTGAATTTCGTGAACTGCAATTCCAGAACCGCGTTCTGGCGGTGCTGCGCTATCCCCCAGTGGAGCGGGTGCACGAGCTGCTGATGCTGATGGAGCGCTGCTCACTGCGGGAGCTGCAGGAGATATTCCCCCACATCGTGCACTTCATATTCGGTGTCAATGGCAATCCCCTGGGCTGGGGACTGCGCACGACGACACCAGAGAGTGGGATGAATGTGTACAAGACGCTGGAACAGTTCTTTAGCGTATGCGGCCCCTGGATGAACGTGTGCCACAGGCTGCTGGCCGAACAGGCAAAGTTCGAGATGGACATCAATCTGCTGCCGGTGAAATTGGTCACAATGCTGCAAACTGGCCAGAGTCCGATGTTCTACGCGGATTTGCTCAACATCGATCCACAGACGCACCAGGTGTCGTCGCTCTCCCTCAATAGCTTCGACTTCTTCATGCTGCATTTCGTGGTGCACGGACTGCAGCCGCTGCACAGCATCGATCCCGTTGCCATGCAGATCCACAATACGCGAAGCAAGACCGTGTACCTGGTGCTGGTGAGCGATTATCTGAACAACTTTCTGCCTCTGTTTCCGGATGCACGCATCGAGCCGAGCTACTTCAGTGGCGGCATTAAGGCAGCTCAGCCCCTGCCCACGCAGTCGCTGCAGCCGCTCCGCCAGCCGCGCTACATAAAGATCCCTAGCTCCTATCGCAATGGAAACAGCTCTGGCGGTGGCAGTGGCGGACCAGGAGGCGGCAACATCTCGCCACAGTCGATCTCTGCCAGTGTCAGTGCCGCCCGCAACTATGCCTGGCGATCAGAGTCGGTCCTTCACTTCTTTGTGGACATCTGGCTACGCTACGACGTGGAGTCCGAGCACCATTTGCCTGGCAGCGACTGGGTGCGTGCCGTACGCACCTTGGTCAAGCAGATCCACTTCTTCGCCAGCGCTGCCCCGGTGGACCACACCTCTCTCTGTTCGCTGCGCAAGCTGTCCCTGAGCATGGTGAAGGGGCGCATATATGCCTTCCTCTCGGGTCTGATTGATCGCTGGCCGCTGGACAGCTCCCTGCTGGTGGTCCTCGAGCTTTGGCTCAGCTACATCCAGCCATGGCGATACACGATGGCCACTCTAAACAGCAGAGTGTGAGTGGAAGATCCCTTACGAGTCACGTCTTGGAATGAGACTTATCTTTTGCTCCTCTTTCAGTTCTGGCCACAGCTACAAGCCGGCCATAACTTCCGCCTACGATGCATTCATCGTGGACAATCTAATCGTTTACACGCACATCTTCATGCAGCTGCTGCCGCACTTTGGGCGCTTAGATTACACCGTGTACCGCAACTGCCAAATGCTGAGCCGCCTGGCCATCACATTCGGCAATCCGGATCTGGTGGATCGACTGCAGCGCTTCGAGCGTATGCACTCGGGAAATTCCTATGGCTTCGACTCGCCCCTTCGTCAGACGCACTTGCTGAAGTTGGTGTCCCCATTTTCGTCCCCCTGTTCTTGCCCTTTCTAATTTGTACTTTTCTATGCATTCTTTAAGCAAATCCCTGCCGCAGAGTGCCCAGTGGTCGAGCATGCCCAAACTCTTCAGCGACACCATGCGCTTGGAAATGGAGAACTTTCTGTTTGTCATAAGCATGGCCCGGAATCAGGTTTTGCGGGAGGTTTCGCGCCTGCGAATGGAGATCTTGGAGAAGCAGCGTTTGGAGGGATTCCTGAAGAACTTCTTGCACAGGATGTGGCACGAGCCCAGCCAAGACGAGACGCTGCTGGCCGATGTGTCCCGGGTGCCGGAGGTCTTGCGCCAGTGCATCGATTATTTCTGTGGAACTTTTAATGTCAGTGAGGTTTCCATTATTTTCATTTCGTTCTATTGTAAGACCTTCTCTTGTAGGTGGATCAAGCGAATCTCTCCATGCATGAGACGCTGCCCGAGGAGTTTACGTCGCCGCCATCCATATCGGCGAACAATCGCAGCTTCTTCAATACCAGCGATTCCATGCTGGACACCTCGAGGCTGAACCCACGACAGATGTGGCTGAATGCCTCGAACTTGACGGCGGCCATCGATCCTGCGCTCCTGCCCATCCAGACCGGAGAGATCACGTATTTGGTCAGACGGCTTCACAGGATATCGGATGCGTTTAACCAGAAGGTTGGAACCCATTTCCATTTCTCCGAATTCTACTTATGGCCATTTCTTTGTCTTTTAGTATAAAATCCAATTGCAGTCCTGCTACGAACGTCAGGATTTCTTTGGGAGCATTTCGCGGCAGCTTCTGCTGGCCCCCATGATCGAACAGTGGTTCGATAAGCGCGACGGCGACACGGACATCTGGGAGAGGACGGTCACGGCACGTGTGTCCCTGCGGCCTCTGGCCTCCATGTTCCTGCTATCCGTGGTGGCATGGTCCATGTTCATGGGATTTGTGTTCCTGGGATCTGCTTTGCAGGGAATTGGCGTCCTGCTCTGCCTGTTCATCGGCTATGTCCTGTTGATGGCGCTCTGTTCCCCCTGATTTGTTGGCTGTAGTTTGAGGTTTATATATTTGTATAAAAATAAAGGGAAACTACGATTACGGCTACGTGTACAACTACGAATAGAATTAGAGGAACTGCATCTGTGTGTGTGTGCCGTATCACTCGGGGGAACGCGGCCGTAGGGCCAGGCGTAACGTCTGGTCGGGCACTGTGACCATACGCAACATGCAGTCGACGGGCCGCTCGTTGAGGCACTGAATCTCGAATTGGGTGGCGCATTTGCCCAGCAGCGAGTGCAGCTGTTTGAGAGCTACACGTCGACCGATGCACGACCGCTGGCCTATGGCGAAGGGCAGGCTGCCGTGCGACTGGTGCACTTGCTCCGACCGGCCCACGCACCAGCGTTCGGGCAGAACCCGCTCCGGCTGCTCAAAGTGTGAGGCATCGCGACCGGCTGTGTACAAGGAGAGGAGTACCATGGTCTGGAAGTAGACTAAAGAATGAGCAATCGATGGTTCCTGCTGTGGAGCGTCCTTTTACCCACATCTTTCTCAATGAAATGGCCTGCAAGATGCGCATCCTGCGGCAGGTAGCGTCCGATGAACGGCGCCACGGGATACAGACGCAGGGACTCCTTGATAAGGCCGTGCAGCAGCTGCGACTCGGACGCCACTCGCTCGCGGGCAAGTCGACCCTGCAGATGTGGCTCCCGCGACAGGACGAACAACGCCCACTGGCTGCTGAAGGCGGTCTGTGCGGGGAAGGGATTCGAATTAGTCAATCTGCTGCAATCGGCCGCTGCTGTTGCTTCAATCCACACCGTGTCACCTGCTGCTATGACCAGATCCACAAAAATACGCTTGATCATCTCGGCGGGCACCTCTGCCGCCTGCAGTCGATGGAAGAGCGTCTCCTCTCGCAGCTCCGTCTGTCCGTCTCCGATGATCTCCCCCCCAATGCAGTGGTCTATGATGGCGGCTCCCTCGCGCAGCACTTCGTCCACGTTGCTCTCAAAGTCGCGCCAAATGCGGAGGCGCAGCAGCTGGGCCAATTTGGCCGGAAAGGTCATCAGGCGCGAGCTATGCTCGAAAACCTTGTGCACGATCTGGGTGAAGTGGTCCAGAGCCGACTGTATTTTGGGGCAGGTCAGGACATTGCTGCCAAACATGATGCAACAGAGCACTGTGGGTGGGTAGGGGGGCAATAAATTATAGCTTTATAGCACAAAATAGAAATTTGCAACAGACCAGACCCACCTTCTATGGACCAACGGTACAGCTGCTGCTCCAGATCCGGTAATTCGTAGTAGCTGCTCCCTGGGGCGTTGACGTTGACGTCGCCGTCTGTAGTCGCCTCTTCAGTTCGGGTGCGCCACTGGTCGACCAGCTGCCTCGTACAGCTCTCAATATGCACGTCCATCCAATTCAAATTTCCGTTGAGGAGCAGGCGATTAAGTATACGCCGGTTGTGCAGCCACTCCGCCCCCTCCCTGTGGCAGATAAGACATGCAGATGGATGCAAAGAGAAGCAGACATGAGATGGGACTGATTTGCAATTCATAGACAGAGTCGCGACTCGCCGTTCGACTCTCGACTCTCGCCTTTGCGTCGCTCCACTTACATAAAGAACAGTCCACGTTGGCAGGCATGCCGCTGGTTGTAGAGCGTCCAGGCATCTGGCAGCGGATGCTGCGGGTATTGACCTTCGTGCAGGAAGACCCCACGCATCAGACTGGCCGAAGACACGAACACCGCATCCTGAGTGCCGCCCAAGCGTTCCCTGAAGATGGGACCGTACTGCCGATGGCGGGCATCGATGTACTTGTGTAGTCTATTCAGGAGAGAGTGACAGATCTATATATAGAGGGATCCATTCTCTACTCACTGTGTGGCTCCGCCAGCGGCTATCAGGTCCAGCAGTGTCCCCACCACAGGCAGCCCCTTGACGCGGGGTATGGGCACGATTTCGTCCCGTTTTGGCCTGCACCTGTTGCTGCCTGGAGTCGTCTCCGTGAGACCGGCCTCCGATTTGAACTCGCTGAGAAGACGCAACAGAAGCGTCCTAAGCAGCTGTTGCAGCCAGCGCAGAAGGCTCGTCCGCTTTCTGTTCATCTCTCTCACTATCAGCGGGGGGCCGTGCGAGGGAAGAGGGCTCACTGCAACACGTAACACACGTCCGACAAAGGGCCAGGTACTGACTGATTCGCCATGCCGCTGAGCCGCGGCCTTATAACCGAACAGCAGCAACAGCAGCAGCGGGAGCAGCAGCACCGGCACAGAGAACGACGAGCTGTGTGAGCAGGTAGGCTCTGCCAGTGTCTCTCCCTCGAACGGGCCTCAATTGATATGCGCAACTTCCATAAACATCCACGCTGCTGCTGCTGTCCAGTAAGCGTAAGCACCTTGGTCTTCGTCTCCCCCATTGTAAATGTGGGGTCCGTCGCGGCGAGACGCGCTGAGTGGACACTATACAGTCGGTCGCTCCCCGCTCGATCGATTCGTGGGGATATTGCTGACCATGCCATTTTTTTGGGAGGCGCAAGAGCGAGAAAGATGGGCACGCCAAGGTTTTTACGGATTTAAGCCCCTCGCTCAGTCGAGTTTTGGCCAGTTATCAACTTGTTGTGACTTTATAAACGGCTCCCAAATTGATAATTCACAAAACCAAGCACATTCATTTCAGTGAAACTCTTTTTTAATCTGCACAACAAAACACTTGGTTCCTGAAACAAAAGTGTACTCAATTACAATTTTATGCATACACATACATATGTAATATTTAACAGCTAAAACATATGCTAAACACAACTAAACCAAAATTATAAACCTTAAGCCGCGTCTAATCCACACTTTTGTAGTCCTGTGTACATTTGAGAGTTGCATCTGCTGATATGTCCGTTGATTCGAATTTTCGAACTTGAGCTCGAATTTTCGAACAGCCGTATGTTTGCCATGCGGCTATGTGTTAGAAGAGCACAGCTAGTGTGCGAGAAAAATTGAATGGCGCGCAGCGGTTTAAATTCGAATGGTGTGGAACCACACTTTAATTTTTGTATAAATGTACTAAAAATTAGCTATTGAACTCTACAATTATGTGTTTTCTCCTGAGGGAATTGCTTCCAATAGTTTTTATCTTCCATTGTGAACGCTATGTTAAATACACTCTTTCCGCTTGCATTTTAATAGACACAGATCCCATATCTGGCACTAACACGGAACCCAATTTAGTTTTAAAGCCCCAGCAATCATGAACTTAGTCTGAATACCAACGCTGACAGCATACAATTCCCAATCTGCCCCTGCGGCCGCAAATTTGAAACAGCTGCACTCTCGCGGCTGAATAGAAGGGGTCAAAGTGTGGCATTAATGGCGCCATATTTTGCATGTTTCAGTTTAGTTGACACTAAAAATAAACCAAGAATATACGGGCCATAAAAAATACACATTCAAAACTAGATAAACCTCAACAAATGCGGCATCAAAAAGTTGACAGAAAACAAAAACAAACAAACGAAAACGTGACAGGGGTGACAGGGGGGAGAAAGAATGGGAGAAATGTGCGCGTCGGGCAATGGAATTTATTTATTAATAGTTAGTATTTTAATAGCTTCGATGGGAATACAATGAACAGCGCGAAACGAGGCTCCACTTGATGTGGGTTCCAAGCCAGAAGCGGAACGAAAGACCTTCCTAGGAAAGGAAATCGCTGTCATATTTATGGCATATTAAAGGGAGCATCACCCAGCTCACATCCCCCCCATTACCCCATTCTGGAAGGGTTGAAATAAATAAATATTGTTTTCCCTCTCTGTCTCTCTCACTGTCTCTGCGGCAGCAGCAGCAGCACGCGACATGCATAATAAAAATAATATTATGGGAAGGACGAAACGGAACCACAATTCATATATGAAGATAATATAAAATAACATGGAAAACAACAAATAACGAAATGAGCAAAGGATTCACCACTCTGCCCCGTTTCCAGGAGCCCCACCGCAGGGGCTAATGCAATAATAAGACCGACTCAGAAAGAGCATAAATAAAAATACTATATAAAAAGGGTAGGGTAGGCGGGTGGGGTGCGGCAGGAGAACAAAAGCTCATGGTAGCATGACGCCTTCCGCTTTTGCAGCCAGAAGGGCGTTGGAGTTTGAGGCAGGAAGTGGTGGCAGTTGCAAACCGGAAACAGAAACGAGCTTCCATTGAGGAGCAAGGAAGTGATACTTACCCGTGGCCGTCTTTTCCTGCGTGTCATTAGGCGGAGTCAACATGAAAGAGTGTCTGTCTTGTCTCCTCTTTAGGAGGGAAATGGAAAAGCTGAGATGAATGAGCCGCCATTGCCAGAGCCATTTCGTGACAACAAACGAGGAATTGGAATCGTAGTTGCAGCTGGATTGAGTTTTGGCAGAAAGATCGACTTTTCTACTTCCCACGGAAGTTATCCGGAATTCAGTGAATCTTCATCTTGAAGTTTGTACCCGAAATCCTTCTAAGTCTCCTCCAAATGAAAATTGGCTCAAGAACCATCTCGCCAGGCTCAGCCAGTCCAGTCCCTTCAATCCTTTGCCGAAGCCAACGAAATTGGCCAAATAATCCAGCTTGAAACCTAAGCGGAAGTCCTTACTGCTTTTGCATATCCTTAAGTGCCACAAAGTGCTGCTATCATTCTTCTCCCTCCTATCGTGTGTATGGAATGTGAGTGTGTTGGCGATGCGATGCTTATCACACCCTCAACCGCACGTTGAATCGGATACGGATACAGATACAGCAGATACGTATACAAATAGAGATGGAGAGGCAGATACAGTTACGAATTGTGTGCATCCTGCAGATGTCCTGTGGTGTGTGTACTTCATGGGTGTCTGCTTCAAGTGCCTCCACCTCCATGCTCCTGCTCCTGCTCCTGCACCTACTCCTCCTCCCAATTCGCTATGGTTTTTGTATCGCTGACCATGACAGAATTTTTCTCCTTCTGTTCTTTTTTTTTTTTTTTTTTTTTTTTGAACACGACTCTAAAGGGCTCTCCACGTGGCAGCACCTCCCACTACTGCTACTAGTGGCAGCTACTCCAACCCCCAACCCCCACCCCTTACAGAAAAGTGTCCAAAACATAAATGACATTTATATTGGTTATAGTATTAGAAGGAATGCTTGTTTCGTTCTGCTCTGGCTCCCCAAATACGATACGTGCCAACGTTTTGGGGTCATAAAAATATAAGCCACAACAACAACAACAGCAGCAGCAGCAGCAGCAGCAGCAAAAGAAAAGAACACTGGAAACTGGGAACAGAAACAAACAATTTATATGACGGCCAAAAAAAAATAAAAGAAGGAGGAAAGGAAAGGTCAAGCCATGAAATATGAGAAATTGCACAAATGTCGCCCCCTCCTATGAGTACGATTACGAGTACGAGTATGTGTGTGTGTGTGTTTGTGTGTATCACTTGCCAGTGCGTTTCATAATAGACAGGAAAAGACAGTTTAAAGTTGGAAACTTTGGATATTTTCGTAACTTTAAATGGCTGTTTTAATGCGAAAAAAGGTGACTTCAATGTCTTCAGAATGTGTCGCTTTGAGCTGGTTTCTTTGTACTTGCAACCATGCAACTTCAGCCAAGAGTACCCACTGTAGACATTTTACATAACATAACCACTTGCAATGCTCGTATATCCGATTATCCCACTGTAGACTTTACCCAAAATAGAAGAAAGAAACAGCAGCAGCAATAACGTTTGCGATTCGCTGGTCACGTGGTCAAAATCCTAAAAAACAGAGTGGGCGGCGTAAGCCTGGCCAAAAGAGTGGCTTCAAGAGTCAAAAATTGCGTATTGCCGCGTGCGTCAAAACGCAAATGTCAAAATTGGCTTTGGCCAGAAGACCAGAAGGCGGATGGGCAGTGAAATCGCTGAAGGGGTTGCCGTGTGGAGGGGAGTGGGGTGATGGCATGGTTTTCTATGGTTTGGGGGCTCGGGAATGATGAGCATTTGCCGCTGTATGCTTTTGGGGGGTGGAGTGGAATGGAGGGAGTGTCTGTGAGTGGCTTAGGCAGAATGTGCGTGCCTATGGCATATTTGTGTTCGCATACACCTATAAACATACACATACAAGGGGCAGATAGTGGCAGAGAGAGAGAGAGAGAGTTGGGGCCTTGGGGGGGGGGCAAGTTCAATGGCTTCTCTCATAAATCCATCGCCGCAGCCAATGCAAATAAACAAAGCTGCACCCATGCCATGCCTCCTCCTGCCAGGAGGCTGAACCAGGAGGACGAACCAAAGGATGGGGATGAGGCTGAAAGAGAAGTCTGTCCAGAGCAGGCAATATTCGCAGTTGAACGGATAGATAGACAAACACTAAAACAACAGACAGAGAGAGCGAAACATGGGTGGCCAGACACACATACAGGTTGCATGCCACGTGCTGATTAAAACCTTTTTGATGAAGGGATGCCCTAACCTCCAGGATAGGTAGTAAAATCGAGAGAAGGGTTTAGTTTTGGTGACCGAAAAGCGGAGGCAGGGATAGTTTTCTGTTCTGTATAAGGGAATCTAAATTTATGGAAGTAATTGAAAATCTCATCCAAAATGAAGTTTGGATGAGACTTTCAATGCAAAGATCTACTTCAAAATGTGGCTCAAAAGAGTGTATTCCCTCCGTCGCGTCGGTACCTACAAATCTCTTATCTTTGATCCCTACACAAATCGCCTGCAGGTGACAAAAAACTTTATCAGCTCTCTGGTTCTTCCTTCCTCTGCATCGCTACCCATCATCCCCCACTCTCTGCCTCCTTCCATCACTTTCTCTCTTGGTGCCAAAAGGCTTTTGCTCGTGAACTTTCATCCTCCGCCGCTCACTGATGCACGGAAATGGCAGAGCGACCCCAAAACATAAATACAAAATCATTTTGGTTGATGATTTTGTTTTTGTTTTCGTTTTTTTTTTCGGTTTATTTGGGGGTACTCTGTCCTGGCTGTTGTTGTTTATCCTTCTTGGCCCAAACCATATTAATGAATTTTCTTTACCCTTTTTTGTTGGTCATGTTTTTGGCCCCTGGCCAGGCCTGACCTGTGGCTAAAGGATGAGGAATGGGTTGGCGACCTATGGAGGACATTAATTACGCAAAATTAAATTTGATATCCTCGCATTAGCCGGTGGAATCCTGGCGGAACTGAAACGCTTCAGCGGATTTTCTTCCCTTTTTTTGATGGGGGTGAACTTCCAGGGGCAGTACTTTAAGGGGATATGGTAGAGTAGACCTTCTCCTTTTGAGCAGCTTATTTTAATTTATGATTCGGTTAAAAAAAAATCACCAAGAAAAAAAGAGTTTCTCCTGCAATGCGAAATCCGCTTTTGGTCATTAGCCCGAAGCCCAGAGCCCGAGGGTTGGATGTACCCAAAAAGAGCGAGGGAGAGGGCGGGAGGGCTGTGTGTGGCAGTTGCAACACCGAATTTATTTTGCCCCGCGCATTGCGGACCTCATTAGCAATAGTTTTGTTTGGTTTCGTCGGGATTTTGCCTTTTTGCGAAGGGCATAAATCATGGTCCGAGTATCGCGCAATGGCAATGACAGCAGCGGCGCCATCGATGATGCTAGTGATGCCTCCCTCTAGTGTGGGTTGGGGGTGGGCAGAGGGCTGTGGGGTTATTATTCCGTTTATCAGTTAGTCACGAGATAGGCCATAATAATACCGGACTTGCCAGTGACTGAACTGTGGGCACCGAAACCTAATTAGACCACAAATGTGCGACAACACAAACAGTAATTGTGGCTGGGGTGAGGAGAGGGGAGAGGGGTAGGGAGGCATGACTGGGGGTCATTGGTCACTGCAATGCATAAATCTCAGTGCAATGGCCATAAATAATTGGCAGCTAATTTAAATGGATTGGTAATCAGAGAGGGGAGGGATCTCTGCCCCCTTCATGCAAGTCCCTTTTGGATATTTAGTCAAGGATGGTCAAGGGATTGACTCATTATGCTATAATAATTAGATAACTAGAGATACATATGCAGCTTGGAGTTTATTTCGATACAGATTAAGAATACAGAAACTCTTAAATTGCGGATTTACATGAGGCTATAGAGATGCTGTGGCTTCAGCTTGGATCTGAGCGGGTCTCTCCTCTCCCTGTTAACGGATGTCCTTGATAATCTTAAACCATTTGTCCCAACCTCAACAAGATAAACTTTTGCAATTTTTCCCTCACACTCGCTTCCTTTTTCAAGAGCTTTTGACTTGTGGCCTGAGGGGGGGGGGGGCTGCAGTAGGTAGAGGAGGGCAGATAGAAGAGAGCGTGTAAGCAGGCCAATCAAGCTGCATGACTGCATCTCCCAACTTCAGATGCAGCTCACACACACAGACACAGAGAGACACCGAAACACGTGTGTGGCATCATCATTAACGGTACAACTGCAACAGATAGTGGGAGAGGGAGGGGAAGGAGACGACTTTTCTCCTTTAGCTTTGTCCCTTTTTTTGGCTTTTAACGATTTTGTTGTCTTTGTTGATTGCCTGTCTCTGGAGAGACAGAGAGAGTGAGAGTGCAAGAGGAAAAGCAGGCCTGTTTAAAGGTGAATGGAAATCGGGACAGAGATCAGGTCTGAGCGGAGCTTAAGAGCGGATTTGCATGTTGCCTGGCTGTTTTTAAAAGCAATTATGACAGAGAGAGAGAGAGAGAGAGAGAGAGAGCGCGAGAGAAAAATGTATATTTAATTTGGAATCCGATTTCGAAATCTGAAAGCAATTATTTCGGCAAAGAACAGTAATTGCATATTTTGTGTGTCGTATCCCGAAAATTCGTTTATCCTCTGGTCAAAAATGCTAATCTCTTCTTCTCCTCTTCATCTCTTTAACTCCCACGCCCTCTGCCCGTCCTGCCCTCGCTCACTCCATCTCTCTCTCTCTCTTTGTGTTTGTGTGTGTGTGTTAAGCAGAGCATGCATAATTCGAATGAAAATTAATTTGTTATTAGTTTGCAGCAAACACAAACACAAATCACAAGCAACAGGCAGCACGACAAGGGAGAGGGGCGAAAGTCAAGGATGAGGAGCAGCAGTGCAGTGTCGTAACAGAGTGGGATGGATGGATGGATGGATGGATGGGGGAAGGGAAGTGCAAAACGTTGAAAACCAATAAGTATGGCCCGGCATAAAGCTAGCCTCATTACCACCCCGTCAAAGAGTGAGAGTGAGAGGGCAAGCTTCGACAGCGTCTTGCTAAATTTACATAAAACACCAAAGAAAAAAAAACAAGAACGAGGACTTTTACGGATGTCGAATGCGTTGGTACCCTCTCTCCTACGGCAGCTTTGTATAGGATAAAGGGAAATGATCTTTCAAACTGTGTGATCTAGAGAGATGTCCATCGGAAATACTTTTACTCTCTTCGTTATAAACAGCTGCCCAAAACACATCATACCCTCATCTACCAAGGGTATCCAAACAGAAGCAGCTACCGAAGAAGGAGAAGTTTAAAAAGCAACAGAAAATATTGAAGAAAAACTACACCAACATGAAATTGAAATTTAAATAAACCTTAAAATTGACTTAGCGACAGCGACAAAAACAGCAAAAAGCTTCGGTGACAGGAACTTAAGCAGCAATCAACCTGTCAGAAGAAAACTGTAAATTTGCATAAAAAAGCACACATAGCCAGAGGGAGGGAAAGGGAGAGTATAATGCATAGTTTCATATCAGTCAGCTTTAACCGAGCAGACAAAAAAACAACCTTTTTTCGTAGATTTTTCTATCGCTTTTACCGGTTTTTGTGCCGCTGCTTGTAAATTATTTAATATTTTTTTTTTACCCTTTCAAATCCACTCTACACCCCACAGTAGCAAAACTTCGGTGAAATATTTCTAGAAACATGCTGCAAGTACTCATCCTTGCGACGCAAAACTGAGTATGAGAGCTCTCTTGGACAGTGGTATATTAAGCAATGGGGTGGATTTTACCTCGCATGCGTTGCATTTTCTGGGCCGTTCTGCCTATTGTCCATACCTTGATATTATTTGTTGAGCACCAGCAACATTTGAAACGGGGGCTTTTGTGCCCCAAATGAAACCCCAATCGGCCGTGGACGCAGAAACAACAGCTAGTGTCGAATGGTTTTGTGAAAATCCATGGAAAACGAACCGCGAAAACTGTGACAACAAGCAACTGGTGTTATTGTCAGAGACAAAAAATATATTCCACTCCAAGCTCGCGCCGCGGACAGGAAAACAAGATGTTTGTGTTTATGAACTCAGAAATCGGAATCTGAATCGTTGTTAAGCCGCGCCGTTGTAACTGTTACCGCCTTGACCGGCACCGTTCCCCCTCCAGTGCCCCTCCAGCAAACAACCAACCCACTGTCCAACCGTCCAACGCTGACGTCGACGCCTACGCGCGCGACAAGTGAAGCGCACAGGTATTTGTGTTTGTATTGTGTGTGTATTGTATTCTGTGCCTGTGCCAGGGCCTGTGTGTGATTTTCCTTTTGTTTGCGGCCCAATTGTTGGTCTTAATTGAATTCTAGTTGCAGTCGCTAAGAGTATTGCAAAAAACGCAATAGAAAAAAACCATATTGGAAAAAGGTACAAAAACCAATAGCCACACACACACACGTCGATAAGAAGAGCAGAGCAGTGGCAGAGAAGCAGAAGCAAGTCAAGAAGCACATAAAAACCAGTTTTCAAGCAGAAGCAGCAGCGCAGTCGCAGCGGTCCAACTGAGGTGAGTTTTTGCATGAGTGTGCGTGTGTGTGTGTTGTATGAGACAATGTCTGAGCCGCCCGCCCACATAGTACCTGAAGCTCCGCGCCATCCAAGGTGTGCTTTGGGCAGGGTGATGCATTTCTGATCGCAGAAGAGAACTCTGTAGGAACACATATGTATGTATGTATACACAACTAGAAATATAATTTTCCTCTTTGTCACATGTGAAATACTTTAATTCGATCAAACACCAAACTTCATTAAACTCCCCCGCTCATCTTACCCCGTCGATAGCTTATTGAAGCCTTCCCACCCAATTGGGAAAACAGCAGAGCTCAAATCAAACGCAGATTCCGAAAACTTTAATTTGATTTTAGTACCTTTGAAAATTCAAATTATTCCCAAATAAAGGAGAGAGAAAAACGAAACGAAACAACATCGAAAACAACTTTGAGAAAATGCCAGTAAACTAAACTAATTTGCACAGTTTTGCGTTTGACAAACTTTGTCTCTCCAGTTAGCTGTCTCTTTTTCCCTCTCTGTCGCTTTGTTGACAAAAAACTCATTTGGAGAAGAAGCAAAACTAAAACAACAGCAAAAAAAATCGGAAAGACCTCAAAGCTATTTCTGGATAACGAAGTGCTATATACCCTAGAGAACTCCAATACAAAATCTTCCATTTGTAACTATGGCCTGCTTTTTCTATAAATCTTCCGTACACTTCCCATCTTAAATTTCTTTCGTTTCCAACTTTCGATCATGCCGATCATACCCTTTTTTTTCTGCAAATCCTACAACAAACGAATAATGAAAGCACACAAAAAAAGAGCTCCTAAAAAGTTTTTAATTGTCAACTTTAAGCCGATGCCGAAAGACCCGAAAGTCAAGAACAGACACGAGACAGAAGAGACATAGATAGAAGAGGCGAGGGGAAGTGCTTTTAGAGAAGGGAACAATTAGTGGGGTATGAGTAGAGGGAGAGGAGACTGAGATGACAGCAGTCGAAGTTGGGTTTTTTTCTGGCTCCTCTCCTCCTTCTCCATTGTTTTATGGGGGAGAAACAATCACTAATTGAAATTTAGGTTTTCCCGCTCTGGCTCCCCCCTCCTTTATTCCTCTTTTTATGCAAAATGGAATGTTTAATGTTCTGTGTGGAACATTTGTTGCCTTGTGGGTTATTTATGCAACAACTACAGTAGCCTTGGAGGTTTGTATTGACAGTCAGAAGAGAAAAACGAGGGGGAGGAAGGGAAGGGGTTTCTCCTGGGCAACTCAATTCAGAAATGGTAATTAGAGTTTTCCTTTGCTGCTACGAATATAACTTTTCGATGCAAGTCTTTAGATTGACTCCATTTTTCCCCTCAATTGTTTTGTGTTTTCCAAATGAATTTTCTTTTGAAAGAAGTTTTACCCTACTTTTAACTAGAGTTTTTCCTAAGGAAAACGCTTGTTTTTCTAAGCAAACTTTAGTTTCCAGCTATTAATATTTAAAACTTTAATCAAGATCTGCCGACTAGTATAATCCCATTTTGTGATGAACTTTAATCAAATTTTAGTTTTGTAAGCCTGAAGTTAGTTTACGTTAAAGCTACTTCCGCCTTGCGCTACCTCCTCCCTTGCTCTATCTCCCGCCTGTGCCATAAATGTATCCTTGTATCTTTGAATCCCTATATCATCCTTATATTTTCTACTTTTCCTCGGGGGAAAATGGGCATCAACTGATTATAATTTGTTTTCTGCTGCTGCTACTGCTCCTCCATTTGCTGCTGCTACTGTTGCATCCTTTTGCTGTTGCACTCGTATTTCATAGTTTGCCTCAATTACGACTCCTCTGACTGGTATCCTGCATCTATTGTTATCAGCAGCAGGTCCTGCATCCTGCATCCAGCATCTCATGCCACTCCTTTGATGGGGAACTTTTGTTTTCATGCCATTTTTCATATACTTTCGTTAGGCGACGCACAAATTAAAAGTTTCCTTCATGCAAGACGAGAAACAGCAGCAGGAGGGGGATAGAGAGATAGATAGAGCAGCTAGGATATAGCTTGGCTAGGGAATCCCCCTCCCCCATATTTTTATATTTTTCTATCGCTGCCAGAGAGGGAGCCATGAAAACTTTGTCCTGGAGACCCGAAAATGGACTCAACTTTCGCTGGGGATTCTGCTCGGGAATCCCCTTCCTGCTGGTGCTGCTGCTTTTGCACCTCTTTTCCACCCCACAGACAACACTTTCTCTTGGCCAAATATTTGGCATATATTCTCCTCAGAAAAAGAGGCGGGAAAGTGGCAGAATGGAGACCTTCCTAATTTGTATGCAAAAATTCCAAAATAATAATATACATCAGAGATCCATAGAGAGGACACACACATGGATGGAGCTTCCTTTTGGGAGTAGTATCTGTGTGTAAAGAGTTGCTATGGAGTCCGTATCTGTATCTGTGTGGATGTGTGTATCTAAGGGATGCCTTTCGGTGACAGTTTATAATTTCAATCAGTGTCACATTCGTGACAAGTTGTGTATGTTTTATTGCTGTCTGCCACATGACCCGAAACAGCAGCAGAAATTTCCCTGGGAAACCCTTCCCTTCTGTTTCTCTTCTGACTCTCCAATTGAATGGAAGTTCATTTTGTGGCTTATTTGCCAAGGAAAAGTGCAACAAAAACATGCAAACTGCAGCAAATATTTCTGTATATTTATGGGCAAATGAGTAAGTTTTGACTTTCAATTTGGAGACAGAGAAAGAGACACAGAAACATATTGAAAGAGAGATTGACAGAATGAGATATAAAGCCACTAGAGACCACACTTTTCTATCTTTATTCTGGCAGGAGATACTGATAGCTACAGATACAGATACATTCATTCATTCACTCGTACAGAGTGGCACACAGCACATTCTGTCTGTGGATGGATGGATGGATGATTGCTGCAGAGAATGACACATACAATTGTGTGGCAACAATGTTTTTTTAAAGGAGTCCAATCTGGTGCTTGGGGAGAGAATGGAATATTGGATTGGAATAAGTCCAAAACGGAGAGAGAATAAGGATACAAATATTGATTATATTCCTGCTATACAAATTAAGGACTAAGAGACATTTCAAAGGATTTGATTTGGTGATTCCCCAAAAGTAGGCTATAAATAGATTAAGCTTAAGAACTGACGGTTTTCCTGATTTTCTGTTTTGTTCGATTAAACTTCATTTAGAAGATAAATAAATGGGAAATTCCTTTATAATCCCATTTATCTTTTTAATTAAATTATTTTCCCCTGTATTTTCCTGAGTTTAGAGAGGAAAATCTCAGTCTTAAATCGCATTCGTAGGATACATTTCCCCCCCTGTAATTAATTAATTAATTCCCCTCTACGGAATTACACTTATGTAAATGTGGGCCTTGGTATCCACTTTAATTGGGTTCTAAATTGCAACAATTTAATGCCTAATTATATTTAAATTTGACAGGCCATTGGATTTGGGCGTGGTAAGGGAAATAAATGCCAGGCATAGCCATTGGATTGGCATTGGCTTTCTCCTTCTCAGAAGTCAAGAAAACAGAAAAAGAGAAGTAGGAAAAATCAGGGAAGGAATGAAAGGACGACAAGACGACTGATAGGTGTAATCCGAGGAGCTTAGACCCTTCTCCAAGCACCCAAAACATCTCCTTCAGCTCTACTTCTTATGGCCTCCTCTCCTCTGCTCAACGGAAGGCTCTACCTTCAGAGGTAGAGCCTCTACCTCTCCTCCCTTTAGAGCCAAACCAACCAGGAGGGAGGGAGGACAGCCGAATGTTGGCCCAGCAGTAATTCACACAATAAGCCGCAGACAGGAGGCAGAAAAAAGTAGAAAGGAAACAAATGAGTGGGGTTTCCCGTTCGCAGGGCAGCATTTCAGGCAGAGGTGTTACCCAGCACTGGAGTTTCTTGTTTATGCCGCATTTAATGAAGGAAACTCCAGCAGTTCTCTTTCTTCATGACATAGCCCATACCTCCCACAGGGGCGGGTTACCCTGTAGATTTGTCCAGGTATAAAAATAAATTCCGGGATGAGGAGGGATAGAAAACAGCAGAGCGGGAGGACGAGTGTGGCAAATGAGAAAAGAAAATGTTCCTGAAGCTCGTGGCAGCAGCAGCTTGTGGCACGTTCCATCACACACACACATACACACACACACGGATGGAATGGAATGAGCCGCAGAGGAGTGGCAGTGGCAGGGGCCAGGTGGCAGGTGGCAGACAAACGGACTTGTGGCATGCCTCAAAGCCAGAATGTGGTTCAGACAGAAAGAAATAGAGAAAAAGAGAGAGGGAGAGAGATTTTAGCTGAAAGCAGAAGAAAGAAGTGCTTTAGACGGGGAACCTCTGCCTCTTGCCATTCGAAACTTTTCGGCCCCAAAGTCTGTGGCTCTTTAACACGTAAGCGACAATTACTGGCAATTGTTGCACTAGCAGATACTCGTTCGTGCAACAGCAGCAGCAGCAGCAGCCTGGAAAATGTAGACAGAAAAATCCACCTCCGTGAGTCATAAATTTGCATCGACGCCTCCACTTTCGAGAGGGGGAAAAGGGTGCCAGACAGATATACAGATACACAGATACGAGTAATGTATGCAGTCGTGCCCCCTAACATATACGCACACACACACACAGACAATGTATCTCTCAGATACAAAACAATTAAAGCCATCGCATCGCATCGTTGCAAGCAACCGCTTTAATTGTGATTTTATGCAAATATTTTCCACTCTTAAAGGTTGGGCTTTTGCGATTGAATTAAATCTTCGCCTGGTGGGGTTTAATTCGCTTTATGAAATTTACACAAATATATTTCAGCTTTTTGGGCTGTGATTCATCTCTCAGATACTGTGTATCTTTTATGGGATAAATATGAGAGCTGCTTGGCATCATCTCTGGCTCTGTGTTGCTGCTGAGCTGCAGTTTTGCAATTTAGTTGAGATTTCTGCCTCTGTTGCTGCCCCTGTTGCTGCCCCTGCCACTGCAATGCATCTTCATCTTTGAA